ACACACAATCACATGCACACACTTACTTAAAGGACAGGTATTTGAGACCATTAAAGCAGGTTTCACTATAACTGTTCTTCATAAATATTCGACCAGTCTCTGTCAGCACTTTGTCAGGATCCCTGTTCACTACAAGCAGTCAAGCTCCAGAACAGCCACAGGGACCCACAACAACCAGGGAAAAAAAAAACGTACGGCAATTGAAAGATTTCATGAAAGTTTCCAGAGATGCAAAACAAAGCTTTGTGTCTCTTAATAAAATGTTTTCCTCCTTCGCTGTTCAGCTTGTTTGCAACTTGAAAATAAGCGAATCCTCACAGGAGAGGGAAACAAAGGAAAGAGGACGGAGGTTGAAAGGCTGAGAAGAGTGAGGACATACATGGCAGGATGTCTTTATATCTGTTCTTCTTGATGTTTTCCTTCAGAGCTCCAGCCTCAGAGGTCAAGCCCAGCTCTTTCTTATACCCCAAAGACCGTGAACGCACCATCTGTCACAAGACACAACAACAACACACAGGTTAGTGTGTGTGCAGGTCTAATGCACACCAAGTCCAAGTCACAAAGACATGAACTATTCAATTCATTCATGTTTATTTCAGGGACAAACTTGATCCTTTTTGCTCCAGAGTATGTAGTTAGAGGTCTATTTGCACGTGCATGTTTTAATTATGTAAATGTGATGTGAGAATTTACTCCTTATGAATGAACGCAGTGCAGCACATTCATGTATAAGAGACAGGTGTCAGCAGTGAGTCAGGACTGTGTTCACATCATGAACTGAACATTTTGTAAACTTATTACACAGTGCTGTTAAAAAAATAACATAAAATAAATTACATGAGCACACACACACACACACACACACACACACACACATTTTTATTATAGCATTTGAAAAAAAAAAAATGTTGAAAACTATTCTCAGTGTTTACAAAAAAGTTTGTAAATTGACCTGCAGTCCAGTCTAATAGTCCACAAAGTTCCCTGCTCTTATTCCCATAATTTTCCTTTAACCTGGAAAATATCACGAGGTGAAAGAAAGGAGTGAAGCAGACTTAAAGTGTTAAATTGCTCAGTATCAGTTTTCTGTTGTTTGATGAGACCAAAGACTCATACATCAGGGTACTTTATGTTGATTACAGCTCCGCCTTCAGTACTGTCCTCCCACACAAACTCACACACAAGCTGGCAACACTCGGCCTGCACCCCACCCTCTGTGACTGGCTACAGGACATTTTGACTGGCAGGCGTCAGTCCGTCAGGATCAGCAACAGGACCTCAGCCAGCATCATCACTAACACTGGCGTTCCACAGGGTTGCGTCCTCAGTCCCATCTACACCCTCTACACCCACGACTGTGTCGCCTCCAACAGTGATGACACCATACTGAAGTTCAGGAGTGTGAAACCCAGAACATCTCGACTCAACAACTCCTTCTTGCCCACTGCTATCAGACTCTTGAACAGCTGACCTGTTTTAACAGTAATAATAATTTTTGCACATCAGGTAATCTCACATATCAAACATATTAAACTCATTGATCTTTTGCACATAAATCTACTTAATACATCAATGTTTTTGTCTCCATTTATTTATTCATGCTATTTGTATTGTATTTTTTATTGTACATATTAACTGGCATCTGTGTGTGGACAGCAGAGAAAGAATTTCATTATACAGAGAAATACTTTTTCTTTGCACACATGACAATAAACGCTTTGAATCTGAAATGTTTGGAAAAGCAGCCGCAGATTGAATCATTTGAATTTTATTAACCGTTTAAATAAAGTCCTTCTTGGGGATACTTGGGGTACATGTTAGTTTCACAGTCAAACTAAATTGTAAACATGTTTTAATTAGTTTCATTAGTATAACCTACACAAGCATTCATGACATGGACCAACCTGACTGCAGGCGTTTTACCTCAAGTGACCACATCTTTAACTGTCCTGTGAAAAATCAAGCCTCACTGCCTCAATGGAAAATAAGAGGCTCAGTAGCAGAAAGGTTCAGCATGCAGCACCTCTGCAGAGCAGACGCTTTGGCAATTTGCTGGTCCGGAGCATTCAGGTGTGTTAATGACACCATGACGCTAATCAGAAAAAGACTGCACAAAGGAGGGTTGCTAGCACGATGCCTCTTATCTCTAAAAAGAACATGGCAGTAAAGTTTAAGCTTGATTTAGACTCTGCAGGAAATCTAGTTCCAAACTTACAGTTTAACCAGAAACCTCTCAGACCTCTCAGCCTTTGCGGGCTGCGTCCACCTGACGCACAATGACATCAGATTATGTGAAAGGTTGTGGCGTAAGATGAAAAAGGGCTTTCTGATTGTGTTGTAAGTTACTCATTTGCTACAGAAATCTACATAATGGATTAGGTTTGCAAAGTAACATCTCAACAAACCACAAGTCTTCTGGGAGAATGTCCTGTGGACAGACGAGATCATGCAAAATGCCACAAGTGGAGAAAACCAAACACGGCGTATCGGCACAAACACCTCGGACCAGCTGTTAACCACAGCAGTAGATGGGTGATTTGGTTTAGTTTGGCAGCCACAGGATTCTCGGCACCCTGCAGTCATCGACCTTGAACTCCTCTCTATGTTTCGGATCATTTCAGTGATAAAAGTGAGGACGTTTGTCTAATTGCTAAAACTCTGGGTTACTCAGCTGTGCTCGGACAATGATCCTGAGGTCAGCTGCAAATCTCTACGTCAGACCTCGACATGATTGAAAGGCTGTGGTGGGACCGTCAGACACCTGTGCATAAACGGGTCTCAGGTTCCCCACAGCGACATGAAAGACTGACGATAACTTCTGTATTGTGAAGATTATTTTTCACATGATGTCATTTTGCATAGTTTATATAATTTATTGCTTTATTGTAGGTGTTTGTGCATGTTTATCTTTATAGCTTCCTATCTTTAAATAATAATGACAGCAAACAGTGACGTCACAGTTGCTTCAGCCTTTTATATACAGGTCACGGACCCGGTTCTGGGGACTCTGTGTCCGTGAGCAGTGTGGATTATTATGATGATGATGATTATTATTATTACTATTATTATTATTATTAGTAGTAGTAGTAATAGTAGTAACTGTCCCTGAGACAGTTAAAATAAAGTTGTTTATTTCATGTTTCTGTAATAGATTCATGCTTAATTTAGTTCATTTATTTATAAAGATACGATGATAAAAGTGTAACATTGATTAAAAAACATGTCTAAAATGTGTGATTACGAAATATGGGTTTGTAAAATATGTAAAGTGCTGTAACGTTTGTATGAGGTAGAGTTTGTAATGGTCACATGACCAGAATTTGGTTGAGAGCACAACCATGGCACGGTGGAGCTTGCATGGATACATGGCTCCAGATGCATCTACAGCCTCAACGTTAATGTCATTCTGCATGTGGTCCAAGAGGCGCACACGGTAATGTTTCATGTATATTGTTTGTATAATGTTGCATACGTGTTCTACACTGGTAATAAGAGGACATTTATGTTGTAAACATAAATGTAAACTTTGTGTTTCTTCAGTTTTGACGGTATCTGAAGACAATAAGACTGAGAGAGAGAAAAATAAATTTGATGCGTGGCCATTCTTTGTTGGACCAATTATTATTATTATTATTATTATTATTATTATTATTATTATTTTGTGATGTGTGCATCTTCTGCACGATGCTGTCATGTCTGTGTTCCACTTATTGTAAGTATAGGCAGAGTGTGTGTATATATATGTGTGTGTCTGCGGGTGTAGCTGTAGGATGGATGACAGGCACCTGCAGGCCTGATGGGTGTGGCCCTGATGGAGGACTGGCCACACACCTGCTGCTGATCAGGGCTCGTCGGGGGAGCTATTTAGGAGAGTGTTGGAGCTCCCATCATTGATCATTGAGTTACACTCCAAGTTAGTGTGTGTCCAGTGTCGAGTTGTGTATGCCCGCGGGAGTTGTGTTTGACGGCTGCCTCTGTTGTTTCCTTGCAGGAAGAGCGTGGAGCAGAAGAAGACAGCACGCACGGGGTGTGGAGCGGAGAGCACGAGCACAGATGTTTGAGTGAGACGCGACACGGGAGTCTAGGGAGCTACGGGGATTTATTGTGTACTGGTTATTTACTGCACTGTAAATAAACGCACTGCTTATATTCACAGCTCCGCGCCTGGGTCCTCCTTTCCTCACATCCCCACGTTTGGCCATCGGCAACCGTGACAGGCTGTGGTCTTACATTTTTAAGTGTTGAAACAAGTAATCTCTGACTAATAAGGATAATAATCATGTAGTTATGTTGAACTGCAGTGAAACAGAAGTGCAAAGGCACCACAAACTGTTCCACTCGTTCCAAATCTCACTTGTTGCCTTATTAAACCTTGCACCGACATGTCCCGCACCAGTCAGCAAACACCACACACTTACTGTAATCTAAAGCTGAGGCCAGTGTGAGGAACAGTGGTGTCCCTCAGCACTTTCACTGGATGAGTCATTTCAGGAACAACAACAAGGAAGCTGCTGTGGCGGCTTAATCATAAACCAACCTGAGGGACAGAATGAGGAAGCAGGATTATTGACTAACCAACTTCTGCTGCCACACAGGAACAAAAAACCAACCTGGCCGCTCACCTTAACACAGCCAGCCAGAAAAAAGCTCAAGAAATGCAAAGCAGCCGCTGTGTGCGGCTAAAACAAGGGTGCGTCTGTCAAATTAGAAAGTCCCTCAGGGTTTCATATGCTCCGACAGGTTTTTAGAGCAGGAAATTAAAATCTTGTAATGCGTGAAAAATAGTAGGCTACTCAGCATTTCAAATGAGCTCGAGGCTTTTTGTCACGTGAAGGTGGTTTTATTTTAGAAGCAGGTCGTTTTCAGTTTGATGCTGAAACCAAAAAAGGCTGCTGCCGTAGCCAAACTGAAACTCGGGACATTTCCTCTCCGTTTCGACCTCATTAGCTCCCTTCAAATAAACAACAAGTTCTCTCCTTTTTCCAGAAAAATCTTGGCGATGTTTTCCATCATAGTGTTTGGGAGTCGCTCCAAATCACAGGAAGTTTGGGAAAACCAGCTCTTACTAACATGATGTTTCCTGAACAGCTCAAGGAGACATTTTAATAAAAAGATATTGAAGTGATGATGTTTTAAAGCCACATGGTTATGCACATAGACCGTATATAAAAGATGGACAGTGTCACCATGGCAACCACGATGAGACTGTACCTTTCTTAGTGTTTTGAAACCAGATGTCACGAGTCTGGAAACATGTCTCAAATGAGCAGTTTGAACTCCTGTGAGTCAGCCTTCTTCTGGTTGGTTGCCCCTCTCAACAGAAGTTGTGAACTACAGGTGGGCGGAGCTTCTGTGTCTGACGTGGAATTTATAGTCCAGCAAATATCCATCTGCAGACATGTTTCGGTTCAGAGAGGGGGTTTCACACAACAGAGTTGCACTCCTGTGCACTCCTTCAAGATCTTGACTGCCTGTTGCTAGAAACAGATGATGTATGCGTCTGCCGAATGCTGATTGGTTAACACGTAGTCCAGAATAGGGCGTAGAGCAACAGAAGTTCACCGAGAACGTGCAAAAAGCACAGACAGTAGTCTCAGTGGACACTTCATTGTTTTTAAAACACCCGTTTTCACTTCAGCTTCTTTGTTTTCAGCACAAGCAAGAGTGAGCGCCTCCATCTGGCAGCTGAGCCCTCTGCAGACAGACAGGCCCGATCCCGGACTGGAGTAGACGTGTTGATCATGTTAAAGTCTGATAGATGATGTTTGCACTGCTCTGTTCTGATTAAAGAACCAACACATTTGTCCTGTTGAATGTGTCGTCATGCTCGCTGGAGCACTCTGTGCAGCCCACTTCTCTTTCTCTTTGGGGTAAAGATTATTTCTGCTGTTCTGTGGATGAGTATTACACACTGTTCTATGAAAAGTGTTTTTTGAGGTGAAAGAAAAATCAGAAGAAATGAATCAACATTTCTTAGAATCAAAAGAGTTTTTTCCCTTCTTTTTTTGGACATGTTAAGATTATAATGAGGCACGGAGGTGCTGCTTTGGAGACTCAGCTGCGTTACTGCTCTTATATTCACCCTTTGAGCCTTACTCACATACTTGGAAAATGGCTTCGTAAGAATCACTCAGCCTTGCAATATAATTTAACGTGTCTCTCAAACACAGCAGTCTTGGTTACTAGAGTGAAGCAGATTTAATCTTAAATGATTTTAATTGTCATTGAGAGCATGCTCACCTCATTTAATGCTATATTACATGAAAAACACTTTTTTTCTTCATAAAAAGATTGTAGTGTGTGTAGACGTGTGTAAATTGTAGCTTCATGTTTTCCGCTGCTGTCATTTAATCACACAAAAGACAAAAATTGCATCATTAAATGTTATTATCCAAAATAAAACCACACAAATTTGAGACAAATAACAGCTTTACCTACAAAAGGTACAAAAACAGAAACCTAGGCCTGAAAATAAGTCTTAGCTCATGTTGAATATTTTAAGAATATTGACCTAAAAATGAAACCAAGTTCTAAAATAGAAGGAAGACAAAATAAAATTGAACCAATGTTTAGATTTAATTACTGGTACTTCATCGCTAATATAAAGCTACAAAGGCAGAAACAAAGAAAAACACCTAAACTTAATTTAAGTTTTCATTTTCACATGTTTGGTTTGAATAAGTTTCCACAGTGTGATGGATTTTTATTGTAGTCCAAGGTTAGCTGTTCAGGAAATGAACACGAGTTAGTGTCGTGGCCGCTGAAGAAAACACAGCAGCGTGTGTGTGTGTTGTGGTGAATGGTTTCAGTGTAATGTTGACACTGAACTCTGCTTTTAGTAACTCGGCAGGTTGTTTCTGCTCATTTCTAACCTCACCGCGAGTTTAAATTCATCACAGCGGCAAAGTGACAGGCCTCTTAACCTGAACACAATACTTTTGTGCCCCAAAATAATTCATTTAGCAGCGCCATGTGAATTCACATCACTATAAATCGATCCAATTACATAGGATGTGATGCCCGATCAGGCCACGTGACTCAGCCACACACTGATTAAAAAGTAGCAGAAAAAAGGCCCTAAAAGGTGTGAACTGTACTCTGATATAAAGAGACAGGAAAACAATAGCAGGGTGACCGTTTTAAATATTGGATTATGAAATATGCCGCACACCGATTAACCTAACATTAAACACAGTTTCGATAAAATTAAAGAAAATTAGCAGAAAGCTGCAGTTTCCTTGCAGCTGCTGCACAACGTCACCATGCTTCATCGTTTCGACTAAGAGCTGTAACGTGTACTTAAATGTATGAAGATAAATAACACATTTAGAGGACAGGAGGGTTTGTTTGGATGTTCCTCTGACCAGTGAGGCTGAGAGCAGAGGACAGCATCAGTCTGATGTCAGGAACATCTCATCTTAATGAGCGAACACG